TACACCGGTCATCGTTTGTTTGGATAGCTGAACACTGGTTTGCTAAAACCTCTGACTCAACTTGGTTGCTCCTTACAACTCTGGGACGGTGGGACCTGCTGTCCTCCATTTCCCACATGAGGGCTTCGTTCCTCACGTCTAGAAGGCTGGATTCTGGTTTGTCCCTAACCACTCTTCGGAGTTCACGTCGGAGTACTGCATCCCTTAAACCTTCAATGAATTGATCCCTTAGAACAGTTTTCTCGTTAGGTATTACATTTGTGGACTGTTTTACTACTGAGCTCAAGATCTGGGACAGTGCATGTGAGTAGTCACGGAGGTCTTCCCCTTCTGCTTGTTTACGGTTGTAAAAGGTCTGCAAAAGCTGTGTAGTGCTGCGTTTTTCCCCAAATGCATTTCTCAGGTAAGAGTATAAATCACTGGGCCTCACTGACTGACCACTCATGCACAGTCTCACCTCTTCTAATGCAGGACCACGTAACAGAGATAGTATGTAGTCACACTGCTCTTCTGATGTCTGCTCTCTGGACCGTAACACTCTTTCAACCTCTTCAATAAACTCTTCCACAGATCTACCATCTGTGCCACCCCCCCCACTAAATGCTTGGATCTGGCGTTCTCTTGGGACATAGATGTATGAACGGGTGGGTGCACTGTTACCACTTGCCCTCTGAGCCCTTGCTTCATCATTTAACCTGGTAAGCTCATCTCGCAATCTGGTTAGCTCTTGCATCTGAATCTGTATCTCTTCCATAGCGTCTCTACTTGTACCCATTGCCCCACCTGAGACAGGGTTTAACTCGCCATCATTATCGCCCACTATTGCATCATCGTCAGGTTCACTGGACATAATGAAATGTTGTCAGTCCAATGTGAATATTTAGTCCAAAATGTGTGTTAAGGATACGTGGAAACAGTCTATAACTTGGAGCCCGGCTGACTCTTGCTTTTCGCTGGTGAAGTTCGTGCTGAACTCCTCTGTGCAGGTATGGATGAGTCGTGTTCACCATGGAATGCCTCAGCTCATATTCCGCTGGTCACCACCTTCACAGCTGGCTGGCCTCTCAGCTCCAACACCCACGGATCACACCTGAAATCTTCACCACTGCCGTATTTCTCAAATAAAAACTAAAAATCAAGCCACTCTGTTGCCAAATGCAAAAAGTTTGTTCTAGCTACACCCCACTCCTGGTACCAAAATTGTGTAGCCCGTGGAATTAGATGCCACCCAGGACACAATTACTTCAGGGGTTCCTGTAGCTCCAGGTTTATTCCTGACCACATGTACAGTTCAATTTACAGAGTGGTATGCTACTGGGTCGTTCCCGTAACAGCTCAAATGCTGGATTTTGTAACAGTCTCTAACACCCAAATGTTGGAATGAATGAAGAGGCAAAATAAAAATAAAATGCAGAGAAATAAAATTAAAAAAAACACAATACAAAATACGGCAGTGGGCTATGACCATCGACAGAAAACATAAAATAAATCATGTTAACAACCATAAACCCACTTATATCAACATCAGTGTATAAAATGTACAACTGTAAATGACACTTACACTTCACCAAGTTCCACCAAACCCACGTGGAACTTCCCGGAGATCGCACAACTCAACGTACTTTCAACGTCAATTACCTTCAAACAGAGTTACACTTTATGTAAAACCTGCAACAGTTTCCGAGTACCAAAATACAATATCAGGGTCTGACTAAATGCATGTTAGCATTACCATGAAATTTAGTACACAATGGTCGACGATTGGCGCCCAAAATCCCAGCATACAATTCCAGTAGTGCCTAAATCAAACTGTCTAGTTAAAATATTGACAGGTGATTACATTTTATACACTTGTACATGAATATTTTACAAGACATGCATGCATTTACCTACTATTCTACACAACGAAGTCTCCGCACCAATCCCTTGTACGTCCATCGCACATTAACAGGAAGAAAGACCATGATGCACTTGGCGGAACAACAACAATACTACTCAATGCTGCCGCCTTGTGACCAAAGTCTGCCATCACATGTACGACTGTGGAAATCCACTTACAATCTACTTCACACTTACTTTACATTGAACAATGTTACTCTCAAACAAAACAACAAAGAACACATGTATTCACATTTACACAACTTTTAGAACTATATAAATATAAAGGGGGAAAATCACCTATGACTAGATTTACCACCCGGCTACACTATAATCATGTCTCCCCTCTCAAAAGTGTCTTCTACCAAACTGGTGTGCTACTTCACCAACTGGTCCCAGTATAGACCAGGTGTTGGCAAATATCTGCCTGCCAATGTGGATCCCAACCTCTGCACACACCTGATCTACGCATTTTCAATAATTAGCCCTTCTAATGAGCTGGCACCCTATGAGTGGAATGATGATGTTCTCTACAAATCCTTCAATGAACTCAAGAATAGGTGAGTTGTTCCTGCCTGCAAAATCAGTCTATCTGGAGTCAAAACCACTGTTATTTTACAACAACTAATCACATCAGCAGTCGAGATTTTTGAATATTTTAGTGTGATTATTGATTGTTGATCCAAGGAGATTTGATTCAATTACCTGCAGTGGAATCTAATCTAACTACATTTTGTTTTGTGAAAACCATATATCGTCATAAGGTCAGTATTTCATGAGCTGAGAAACAGCCAGGTTTTCAGCTTTTGGCAATGCAATTTTCATATTATCCAATACATTTTAAATAGTGCATTTAGCTTAAGAACTAGAAAAAAATTGTCAAATGACAAGAACAATCCTTCTTTTTTAAATCTTTTTTTTATAATACTCAATATAATTTATAATACTAATACTAATTACTATTGGTGCATCATTCTAGAGTAAACCAGCCCTGGATTTCACTGCATGTACTGAAAATAAGAGTATGTGACAAATGCATTTTTGAATCTCGAATCTACTGCACCATAGGCTACATTTCAGAGGCAAATATAATATACTTTTCACTCCACTATTCTTATTTTTATACTTACTAGTTACTTTGTAGATTGTCATTTTACATACAGAAGCTATGCTGAACTTAAAATTTTCATTGTAATAAATTATATTATTATATTATATTATATTATATTATTATATTACTGATAATACTTCAGTCTTTTTACTTCAGCAAGATTTTGTTATTTATATTTATAATTGTGTTCAACACTCTGACGGGCGTAGCCTGATTCGACTCTCAATCTCAAAGTCGAAGCTTTGCAGCCGTGCACAAAAACCCATGATTCAGTCCACTATAGGCAGGACTTGATGATTCTGATTTGACAATGTAAATCCTTAGTCAGGGACAGCCCTAATATCCAGCATTCATTTATACAATAATTTAATGTTGTATAGGCTCATGATTAAAACTCAAAAACTGTATGTAAGTTTATCATTCAATAAATACATGAAGTGGAAAAACGAAAGAAAAAGACAGTGCTCTCAAGAAGATTTTGAAATAATGAAGTATTCTTGAATTCTTTTTTCTGACATTGTGGGATTGTTACGTTTATAGTAGCTGTAAAGGATCTAGATTCTTCCTACACTAATTAATTGTAAATCTACATGTTTTTGCACATTTCTTGCACAGAAATCCCCGGCTGAAGACTCTGTTGGTCTGTTGGTGGGTGGAACTTTGGAACTACACAGTGAGTTATCTTGCCTTCAGTAGCAATAAATCATGAGGCTATTGTCTTATATTATCTCGTATAATAATGAAAATATCATCAGCAGTGCATTTGTTGTTTTAGTTGTTTTACATGTTTTTTTTACAGATTTACTATCATGACTTCATCCCCTGCCAACCGCCAGAGATTTATCCAGTCTTCTATCAAATTCTTAAGACTGCATGGCTTTGATGGGCTGGACCTGGACTGGGAGTATCCTGGATCACGAGGAAGCCCACTAGAGGACAAGAAGAGGTTCACAGTGCTCTGCCAGGTCAGTTTTAAAATCTACACCTCCCCTGTCTGCAGCATTGACATTGAATCTTAAATGATTCCACACCAACACAGCATCTGGATTTGACACATAACAGCAATGTGTCTAAATAGTCTGTACACACGATTTCCCTCTTGCATTAGGAATTACTTGCTGCCTTTGAAAAAGAAGCTGCTGAGACCAAAAAAACACGACTGCTGCTAACAGCTGCAGTGGCTGCTGGGAAAGGAAACATTGACAATGGATATGAGATTGCTGAAATCTTAAAGTGAGTTCCTGTGACAGGGAGTAATTTAGCTTTAAAGTTGAAAAACAATTATTTTAATTTTTCAGTGCTTGTGTCACACAATGTCTAACAGGTTCCTAGATTTTGTGAATGTCATGGCCTATGACTTCCACGGAGCATGGGACCCATTCACTAGTCACAACAGCCCTCTGTACCGCAGCTCTTTTGATCAGGGTGACAACATCTACTACAATGTGGTGAGTAAAATCCTCAACAAAATTCAGTTATCATCTTCAATCCCCAAGAAGCTGAACACCTAACATGTCTTTGTTTTTAATATCAGGACTTTACTATGAAATACTGGAGAGACCAAGGAGCTCCTGTTGAAAAGCTCATAGTTGGTTTTGCCACGTATGGGCGCACATTTCGCACATCAGCAGGAGCTAACGGAGTTGGAGCATCTGCCAGTGGACCAGCCTCTGCTGGGCCTTACACACGTGAAGCTGGGTTTTGGTCCTACTATGAGGTCAGTTAAGGTTCAATAAGATCACTTGAGACACAAATTAATACAAGCCCAACATAGAAAGTTGTTTCACACTAAACATGCTGAGAATGTTTAAGTATCATTTTCTTCCATTTCTACAGATTTGCACTTTCCTCCAAGGTGGCACTGTCCACTGGATTGATGAGCAAATGGTGCCCTATGCCATTAAAGGAAATGAGTGGGTTGGGTTTGATAACAGGCAGAGCTTTGAAATCAAGGTAATAAATAATATATTACCATTCACATCTATGATTATAGAGATAATATAAACAAGATAAAAGTAGTGTATCACTATCACTACTTGCTATCAGTATCTTGGTTTAGATTAAGCAGCAAGAGGTGGTACAAATATCACCTCAGGTCTGAAATCTTTTTTTGGCACATGTGGAAATCCAAACCAGGTGCACAAATCAAATAAACATCAAAGACAGAGGAGAGAATATGGTCTAATTCGTACAGTACAGTGCCACAAACTTTATATATCTGTTAGAACAGAAATAATGTGATTTGGTTGTACTCCAATTACCACTGCTGCATATGTTGCATATATCACAGAATGTTTGCAGTTTGTGACACATTGTACAATACATGGTAATAATATTGTTACACATAAATGGAGAAAATCATTTTCTGGAGTGTAGGAAAAACTTTAAATCAAAAACAAAATGAAGGCAAAGGTTAGACTGTACTGATAGCTCCCAGTAAATTTAATTTCAATCTAACAGCAATTTGCATCAGAATAAACATAAAACATCACAGATCAGTGATGGTCTTTGTATTAAAACAACAAAACTTCCTCTCCCATAGGCACAGTATTTGAAAGATCACAAATTTGGAGGAGCCTTCATCTGGTCTCTAGATCTGGATGATTTTGACGGACAGTTCTGTGGACAGGGAAAGAATCCCCTCATTAGTTACCTGCGCACTCTCCTTGACTCAGGTAAACAGAAATTAGACTTCAACACTGCAAAGCATATACAAACTTTCATTATCTCCATCTAACAAGTGAAATATTCCTTCTCTTTAATCTGAAGATTCTTTATCTTGCTAGATCTTCTACCGCCTCCTCCTGTAACCACACATCCACCAGTGATCACTACGAATCATCCCGGCCCAAACTACACCACGAATGCTGCCACTGCTACTACAACTACCACTACCACAACATCCACCACACCTGTTTCTGGAAGTGATTTCTGTAGTGGGAAGAATGATGGCCTCTACAGAAATGACATGGAAGGCAACTCCTTTTATCAATGCTTCCACGGACACACATACCTCCAGACATGTCCAATTAATCTTGTTTTCAGTGACAGATGCAAGTGCTGCGACTGGCCTTAAATAAACATCTTCTTCATTTATTTTTAAAATGTTTTGTATAATGTCAATAGTTTCATTTGTAATGTTTAATCAAATGAATAAAAAAGTCTAATTGACATTTTTATTTTTACATGATTCTTACATGAAACACAAAATTGTGACTTCACAAAAATAATACTGCACAACACAACACTTAACTTATGTTACGGCGTGGTGATGGATGAGGCACATGCCTTTGGTGTGAGAGACCCGCTTTCAAATCCACACTAATGTGTCCCTGAGCAAGACACGTCACCCCTAGTTGCTCCAGAGGCGTGCAACCTCTGACATACGTATATAGCAATTGTAAGTCGCTTTGGATAAAAGCATCAGCTAAATGAATAAATGTAATGTAATGTAATGTACTTATGTACAACAGATTAACGATTCTTTTCTAATAATTGTTCTCCAAGTCTTGAGGAAAACAATATTTTGTTAACAAAAAAACATAAATATGCTTTCTACTATGCTATTCATTGAGACACATTATAGGATTTTATACGCTGTCCAGATTTATGTTGAAAGAGGATTCATTTAGCAGGACACTGACCCTGAACATACATTGAAGCTATGCCAGGTTTGTCTGAAGTCCAAAGAAGCACAAGAAGTGCTAATATTTCCCAGTCATCTGACCTCAATGCCACTAAACCTCTCTGGGAATATTAGAAAAAGGAAAACATAACATTTATACAACTGTAACATAAGAAAACATCTGGTGTTAAGATGTTTGTCATTTTGCCTTGCAATGACACTTCTGTTCTTCCCCCTCAGTGCGTGTGGTGTGTGCATGTGTGCATATGTAATGGTAAACAGCTGGGTACCTGGGACTGGGCCATTCAAGATGATTGCTGCCTCAGCATTGGTCCAATGGATGACAACAGCCTTTTTAACCCCCAGCTGATAGCAATCTGCCTCTTCACTCTGCCATTACTAGCCATGGGCCAGCTTCTTGCTTTGTGTTTTGTTTTGTAAAATCTTTTGTAAGTAAGAAAGTGTAAACTTGATGATAATCATAGTGCCAAATATTGATAAGTTATTAGTGACGGAATGGGTTTTAAGCATCAGACTGTTTATCTTACAAAGGGTCACTCACCACTTGTTGTTATGTAGTCTAAAGAGACCCTTGGTTTTCTGCATGTGTCCAGAAAGATTTCTTAAAATAGAACATACTGAGTTAAGTTTTCTTTGTGAGATCAAATGTGTTACCAGCTGACACGCTTGGCTGAAGCAACAGCTAAGTTTCCTAACCTTTGGATCAGACAACTTGTTCCTGGTTAATGATTATTATGGTTTGTGTATTCTTTCATCAGCAAAAGAAAACTATTCAGTGCTCTATTTGTGACATGGCCAGAAGTCATCCAAGCGCAACCACCATGACAAAGCTAATTCTATTTGCAGGTAAGGCACAATGAAAGGCATGAAATGGATTTCTTCTTTCTGGCTAAACCAATAATTAACAAAACTGTAACTTTCAAGGTCTCTGTCTTTCCTTTGGCAGTTTGGGTGAGTTCATGAGTTATAATTAATACTGAACATTATTAGTAAAAATTAGAACTGCTTTCAAACAAAGTCTAAATTATTAAATGTCTAGAATGATTATCCCTCAAAGATGAATGAGAACTATTTATGTTCCATGTTTAGTCTCATCTTCCAGACTGGTGTGTTATTTCACTAACTGGTCCCAATACCGGCCTGGCAATGGGAAGTTTATGCCACTAAATATTGATCCAAACCTGTGTACCCACCTGATCTATGCCTTTTCTGGTATTAATGAGGCAAATGAGTTGGTCACCATAGAATGGAATGATGATGAACTCTACAAATCCTTTAATGGACTCAAACAGAGGTCAGTCCAGAATTTTCTAGTATTGTCTCTTGTAAAATGTTATAAATCATAGCTGGCAACTAACTACTTGTTCCACAGGAATCCAAATTTAAAAACCCTGCTAGCAGTCGGTGGCTGGAACTTTGGAACACAAAAGTGAGATATTTAACACAAATCAATGAAGATCAATGTTATGTATGTCGTCTTGAGACCATTTTTCTTTCCCCAAAATGCTTCACAAAGATTCACCACAATGGTGTCGACTCAAGCCAAAAGAAATGCATTTATCCAATCTTCTATCAAACTACTGAGAAAATACAGTTTTGATGGACTAGACCTAGATTGGGAATACCCCGCTGCTAGAGGAAGTCCTCTGGAGGACAAGCAGAGATTCACAGCGTTATGCAAGGTGAGATCCAGAATTATTGTTGCGGCATTTAACTGATGTTTAACGTGAACCATAAAATTACTTCCCATGTACAGGAACTCCTAGAGGCCTATGAGGCTGAAGGAACTGCAACCGGTCAGTCCAGACTAATGATCTCTGCTGCTGTGGCTGCTGGGAAAGGAACCATTGATGCTGGTTTTGAAATTGCAGAGATGGCCAAGTACACCAATGTTACTCCCAACATTATCCCTATTAGCTGTCATAAGTCATTAAAAAATTTCCCCTCGGATCAATAAAGTGTTTCTGATAATGTTTTGATGAACTTCTTACATCTAACATCTTTTATCAGGTATCTGGACTTTATCAATGTGATGACTTATGACTTTCATGGCACCTGGGAGAGTGTGACAGGACATCACAGCCCCTTGTACAAGGGATCGCAGGACACCGGGGACCATGTTTACTTAAATACTGTGAGTATAGGTATTCATTTTTAGCTGCATCATCTAATTCCAACTCAGTCGTTCTGTGATTTGTCATTAGTATTTGTGTTTTCATCCACCAGTTCCAACACTGGAAATTTAAAATATTGCAAAAATATTCTGGAAATGTGTTAGTTTCAAACTGTTACAGAAACAGACATGGCATATTAATCATGACTCGCATTAACCATATGACCTAAACACCTGAAGTTATGGGCCACTGGCCGACAAACCTCAGATCTGAGTCGCAGTGAGGATAACGTAACATTCCTCAAATTAATATGTCCTATTCAGGTTTTTGATATTTTCCATATTTGAGGTTTGACAGGCATTCTCAATTATGTCATCTTTCACAGCCTCTTTCTGCAATGGTTTAATGGCACTCAATTGGGGAATTATCACCACAAACCGTTTATATCCTAATTTGCTTATTTGATGCTATAAAAGGGGAGGGTTCCCGTCTTGGTGGTTGGGCAAGACCTCAATACCATGGCTCTAATCCTGATCAGTACTTTGCAGGCTCTATATGCAGTCACAGCATAAGATGGCAGCCCTTGTATAGGATGGTTTGGCTTCAATTTTGTACAGGGGGGGAGTGGAGAAGGGTTGTCCAACTGTATATACGGTCTATGATGGAAACTCGCATTAATCAGGATTTTCTTTTGCTGATTCTAGAACATCAGTTAAAATTTTTATATAAACATGACTTATATTTATCTCATTCATATTTCAGGACTTTGCCATGAGGTATTGGCGGGACAAGGGAACACCTGTAGAAAAGCTAAATATGGGCTTTGCTACATACGGGAGAACATTTCATCTATCTACTCCATCCAGTGAGGTTGGCGCACCAGCCAGTGGTGGTGCTGCTGGTGGTTTTACAAGGGAGGTTGGCTTCTGGTCATATTATGAGGTGAAACTGGCAACAATTCATTTAATTTGACTCTCTAACTATTTGAAACTGAAATTAAGTCATCAAACACAGCTTTTAATTATCGGATTTCATTTATTGGGTTTTCATTTTTTTTCAGATTTGCACTTTTCTTCAAGGGGCCAGTGTCCACTTGATTGATGAACAGAAAGTTCCATATGCCATCAAACAAAATGAGTGGGTTGGATATGACAACAAAGAAAGTTTTGAGACTAAGGTAGTAATGTGTTTCTATGTTCTTTTGACAGATGCCATGTGCCAAGTTAAATGCCGTGTTAAACAACATACAAGTGTTGCTTTTATTCAGGTCCGTTATCTAAAAGACAACAGATTTGGAGGAGCTTTTGTCTGGGCTCTGGATCTGGATGACTTTAAGGGAGAGTTCTGTGGACAGGGAAACTACCCCCTCATCGGGTATCTCTCCTCTCTTTTAGCTTCAGGTAAGTAGAGTATATTGCTAGTTAACAATTTCTTTCATAAGCCACAGCATTAATTTATTTACTTTTTAAACTTTGATTGTACATATTTACTATTTCTACAGATCTTCCTCCCCTTCCCACTACAGAAACGATTCCAAATCCAGTGACCCTGTCTACAAACAAAGATCCAACTCCTACCACACCTAGTTTCAGACCTACAACTCATACTTCATCCAAAAGCCCAGACAACTTCTGTGCAACAAAAACTGGCGGGGTTTATGCCAACCCTGACGACCCAGGTTCCTTTTACAATTGTGCCAATGGCATTACCTGGATCCAAAACTGCTCTGCTAACTTGGTCTTTCGCGAGAGCTGCAAATGCTGTGACTGGCCCTAAAAGCTTTCACATTTTTACATTCCACGAGTTCTTGTATCTCTAGTTATGAATACAGTACAAGTTATTGTCTTAATTTCATGAGTGTTTTTGAGTTAAGTTCATCTAACAACGGAATTTGTATGGGGTTTTTTTTTTTTTTTTTTTTTTTTTTTTGCAAGTGATATTGGTTACCTTTAAAATTGCCTGTTAGCGGTTTTTCCTAAACTTCTACTTAAACCTTACCTAATGTATTAAACACAATGGTAATCTTTATAAAAGCATCCATTGTTTATTTAAAGGGACAGTGCACATTAATGAACATCAATGATGGCAACATGCCATATTTAGTCAGGCTATTTTTCATCTGTAGTCCCAGTCAGTACAAGTCAATATAAAATAAACATAACAATAGAGTACACCACAATATACAAAAGTCATGTTACAGTATACAGGTCATGAATTATGATCAGCTTCTAGGTGTCTTTCTAATATACTGTTACACTAATCGTCTAAAATAGATACTATTATAAAAAGGTTAACAAACGTCATCTGAAGCCTGAACTATCACATTTCACCTGATCTGACATGTTGAAATGTGACCTACAATAAAATGCCATAAGATTGATTTATTGTAATTTAGTTTTTTTTAATGCAAGGCACCACATGGAACTGTCTAAAAATAGTCTAAATAACTTCCAGTGGATATGAAAAACTAAAACACAAAATGTTTGCATGCATTTTGTAAATTACATCTTTTAACATCTATGAACCTGCCTAAAGCTTTGTCAGGCACTTCACAAATTCAAATGTTTCAGTGCACTGCACTCATTAGTTTAAATTATGTTACAACTTGGTAGCACTCTGGACATCTGCCTTTTTACTTTTGTGGATTATTAAAGCACAGGTTTGTGGAATATGAATTATTGATGGAATTAAAACAGCAGAGGCCCAAAGCATATTCACATATCCTATTTTTATTGCCTATAACCAGATTGCCGGGTTGAAAGACGTTTGCTTCAAATGGTTCTAGACGACAAGGGCAGTTACAAATATTACCTTTACATGAACACTAGTCCCTATTACTGTTAATGACATTCAGGATCTGATATGGAACATAAGCTTATGTCTTTGACTCTTCATTTCTTGTCAAAGTTGTGTAAGCAGGGTAACGATAACAGGGGTAAGATTAATGTAATTTGAAGCAAACTTTTAGTTCCTCTCATACACCTATTACAAGTAATCCTACAACTAACAGATTTGGGTGCTCATTAATAGTAATTTTGTTAAGAAAGCTAAAGTTACCAATATTCCCCTGTAATGTTATTTCTCAATAAATATAAGCCAACAGCAAGATATAGCAAAGCAAACATAACATTTTACATTATAAGACATGCATTAAAGTAATGTCCACCGTGACCTATACCTCCATTGACTGTACACAAATACAATGCACATAATACATACCTGTCTCGGAGAAAGAGGGCCAATTCAGAAGAATAATATTAACATTATTGTGTAATATTACTGAGGATTTATTGACAGAAATGCAATATAAGATCCATAACTATGTTTTCAGTGGTGTATAAAGACCTCACATTATGTTTTTCTTACCTTGCCATTTCTATCTACATAACCCCTGGTCCCCCTTACATGGAGGTCACCATGTTGAGTCACCATGTTTCTATAGTAGCCAAAAATGGACAAACTGCTCTACAGAGTGCGTTTCTACGTCGTCGTTCTTCTTGTGTAATTCCGTCAGTGTAGACATTACGTTGAATACGGGAAAAAAAATAATATTCAATCTCTGAGTAGTTATATGGTTTATTAGAAGGAAGATTAAGTAAAGTAAAATTTGGACAAATGGAGGTCCACACGTATTATTTAATACAAGCCGACATCACGTGGATCTTTGTCGTCAAAGAAGTGAAAACGCAATGAAGCCAGACGAAATCGGGACAGATGATGACAGAAATCAAGCTCATAATCGTTGTGGATTTTCCCAGATGGAAAGCGCTGATACAGGACAGAAGTTTTCAAAGTGGCTCTAAAGTTGCTGTTTTCTGCTGGATAGGTAATTAAGTAGTTGGGTTGTAATTTCAGGTAACGTTATTGTCCAGCGCTGTATTTTGGCATTGCGACATGGACAGAAATGTGCCGTTACATTAGCAAGAGAATAAGCTGGTGAATATTATCATCAATAAAATGGTAGCCTACAGCATGGAAGCTTAGATCAGCCAGCTAAACTTCAAATTTTACTGCCTTGGTAGAAAAAATATGTTGTTAGATGGTAATTTGTAATGTTATTCTACAGCGCTGTGATGATTTTGCTACATGGACAGAAATGTGCCGGTTACAATCATTAAACAACCAGCTGATGAATATTAGTGGTTATAAAACTGCACAGCATGAAAGCTCAGATTAGCCAGCTAACTTGACATTTTACTGCTCCAGTGGAAAAACAGCATTTATTTGTATTACAAACACTTACGATAACAAGACTGTTTCCTATCAAGTGACTAATTATGCTTACTGTCAGAATTTGCATTTAAAAAATGTATTTGTTTGTCGGATATTGCCTCGCTACTGTGCACACAAATGTGTAATTTGATAATTCACATGGTAAATGGCCATTTAAATCGTTGCACCGTTTTACTACAAGCTAAAATTATCACTAGGGCTGTCCCCGTTTACATAGTCAAGTCAGATTTGAAAAGTGCTGCCTATAGTGGGCGGGGGTGGGGTTACACACGGTAGCTCCACTCCTCCAGAAGCTGCAGAGCTACAGTCCTTGTTCATTAGTCAGATCACCTTACACTGTACATTTACAGCCAAACTGAGGCTTATTGTTGAACATTTCCTCTCTGCTCGCATATCATTCATCAATATTGTACATAGTTTTGTGTGCATGCCGTGCCAACAACTGTATGCACGTCGCGGTTCCTCGTGTGTCTATTTCAAGTACTATCTTTAAATGATCCGAATGTCCCGCGAGGTGCGGACAACTCAGAACAACATCAGTGAAGCTTGGGCTCCGTCTCTTCAGCAAGTGTTCCTGCTACACACATACACGCTATGCCTACACATGCGCACTGACCCTCCTTCCTTAAAGGTGTGTTGCAATTTTGGATTTATTCACACACTTTAAAAACATTTATTAAAAGATTTTTTCTTTTTATGTTTATTTTCAGCATTATATGTTGTAATTGATATTGTAATAGGCAGAATATTAACTTATTGAGCAAAACTGTTAGTTCCATGTAAAATCAGGCATTGAACACCCCCATATCGTCCAAAAAGGTATGATGCTTGACTGTGAGATTGACAGTCAAATCAGGCTCCGCCCATCGAAGCTTCGAATCTTCAATTACTCAGGGTCAGCCCTAATTATAGCAATTAGTACTACTTTGTGTTTCAGTTGTATTTAAAAAAAATTAAAAAAGACAATTTGGTAAGATTTGCAGAGTGATTATCTAATTGAACAAAGTGGAAAGGAGCCTTGAACCTCCCCTGACTATGGCTTTGTAAACTTCATTTATAATGGACTGTGGTCCAGAAACAGTGACAATGTTACGCACTCTTGGCCTACATTTTCCTGTTCTCCGTCAGTGGCTAATCATATTTGCGTTAGATGTAATAGTTTTAAGTACTTTACTTACTTTTGTATGTTAGTCCAGATGAGCCAAATCTCCCAAGATGTAACAAAATGTATGATGACAGTACAGTAAAATAATGTATTACAGGAGTATGCCACATCATGTAGCTCTTCATTTCTTGATGTTGCTGTTGTTTGATGAACAATTAAACTGTTCATCAAACTTTAAATGTCACTAAAACTTACACACTTAACCTTTTACTGGCAAACTTCTCTTTTGTCTGAGTGTCGTAAATAATTTCATCTGACTTTGAGGCGAAATGGACCAATGACAGGCATTAAGAATAACTATGTGGAAATAATCTTCTTGCTGATGGCGTCGTTTGCTTATGTAGGTCATATAGAAGCATTCAACATGACTTCAATGCTATTTTAACCAACATTTGAAATAACGTTGAAATGATGGCCTCACCAAAAATCAGCGGGATTTCAATGCTATTTTAACCAACATTACTATTGAAACAACAATGAAATGATGGCCTCACAAAAAATCAACGTGACTTCAAAACTATTTCAACCAATATTTAACCCCAAAAAAGAGACTACTTAATATATGATAAAATATGCCCTGCTTTATTTAAAGCCTGGATAAATGTTATGAAGGCATGCCGCTTCACCAAGTTCCGTGTGTTCTCGCATCTTTAATGAACAAAGTGTGCCAAAGCCAACAGCTGTCTGATTCAAACACCAACAATCTGGTCGATCACTTCAATCATATCTGTTTGTCGTCACTAAATATTACTGCTCCTCTAAAGGTTAGGCCTACGTCTAAAGCTAGTAAGCAATCCTGGATAAATGACAGCATTCGCAGCCTAAAAAGGGAATACAGGAAAGCAGAGCGCAGATGGAAAAAATCCGCTCTCCAAGTCCATTACCTCAGTCTGAAGGATTTATTAATTAACTACAATAACATGGTTAAGGATGCGAGAACACACTATTTTTCTGAACTCATTACTACACATAAACACAATCCCATGTTTCTGTTTAAGACTGTGGATCAGCTGGTAAACTCAACCCCTCCTTGTGCCTCAGCTGGAAGTAATGATGACTGTGAATTGTTTTTATCTTCTTTTACCAATAAGGTGGTGTCAATCAGAGCCTCTATTACCCCCGCAGCCTCTTACTCAGAGGTTCCTCACCAGCAACAAGAGAGTTTTAACCAGTTTTATCCCATCGACTTGTCGGAGCTTTTAAAAACAGTATCACAAATGAGAGTGTCCTCCAGCCCACTTGATGTAATACCTACAAAGTTTTTACTGAAATTAATAGATTCTGTTGGGCCCCATTTGATCTCTGTTTTCAATAGCTCCCTATCTAATGGTTGTGTAGACTGTCTACTGTTGCCCTGATTATTTTAACAGCTTGCGTGAACCCACTTTTAAAGAAACCTGGTTTAGATCCCTCCCTCCCACAAAATTTTAGACCAATTTCAAAACTGCCTTTTATTGCAAAGATTTTAGAAAGAATTGTGTCCAAACAGCTGCTCACTGGACTGGAAAATAACAAAACATTTGAAAAGTTTCTATCTGGTTTCAGGAAGTACCACAGCACTTAGACTGCCCTGCTTAAAGTCACCAATGACCTTTTAGTGTCTGCTGGTGAAGGTATGTGCTCAGTCCTGGTACTCCTGGACTTTAGTTCTGCTTTTGACACCATTGATCACAACATCATGTTAGACAGACTGAGGCACTGGGTGGGGACCTCTGGTACTGCCCTAGAATGGTTTTCATCTTACCTGTCAAATAGGAAGTTTTGCGTGTCTCTTCGTTCTGTCCAGTTAAATATGGTGTGCCTCAGGGGTCGGTCTTAGGACCCATTTTGTTTTCCTTGTATCTGCTTTCCCTTCCACATATTATCCATAAACATGGCATTTCTTTTCATATTTATGCTGATGACACACAAACATACTTGCCCGTCAGATCCACAGATCCTGGAATGCTGAGTTCACTTAACAACTACCTTTGTGAAGTTAAAAAATGGATGTCAAATAATTTCCTCCAGCTGAAATCCTGGTCATTGGGTCCCAGCAGATGGCAAAACAAATACTGCCATCTACTGGTTCCCTAGTAAATCTCATTAAGCCTGTGGCAAAGAACCTTGGTGTTTGGTTTGATAGTAATTTAAATTTCGAGCAGCACACCACAAAGCCTGTTCAATCATGTTTTTATCAACTTTTTATCAAGGACACCGAGACCATTTTACACGCCTTCATCTCATCATGCCTGGATTATTGCCTTTTCACCTGTTTAACCCAAAAATCTATTGATCGACTCCAGACTGTCCAGAACTCAGCTGCCAGGCTTT